TTTATAATTTATACAATTGACATCATTATACTTTAACTATGTTTCATACTTTCAATTGAGAAGTCTTCAATATAAGTTTAATCCTGCACCACCAACAGCTCGACTTCAGCACCACTGTAATAAGAACAAGTAAAGGTAAGTATTGAGGTATCTTCTGACATTGAAGAATATCATCACTGTTTTATTACGTTCTTTTGAAACTAAAATTACAAAAATGAATTAAATTAAATATATATGATAAGTATATATGCAAGAAATATGCATTAATTACATGTAACACAAACATGTAGTAATGCAATGTTTTAAATGAATTTGTATGCAGACCTGGATGTGTTACACTAGGATTATCCTCTAAATCTAAATGTAATGTTTTACCATGGTAAATGTAATAAATTACATTAAATATATTCAGTTAAGTATATATGCAAGAATTATGCATTAATTACATGAAACACAAACAAATGCAAGCAATTTTGTATTCATACCTGTTTTTGTTTACTCTACAAGGGTCCTGGCGCATATATTTTCCAAATTGGCAGTGTACAAGTTTTTTGCAATCGTTCCACACCGCCCTGGTGTGGGGCCATTGCATGTGGTGCGTTTTTTTTTAAGTGGTATCGCCAATAGCCCTAATCCACTGACAATTAATGAGATTATACATAAATACTAAGTAATCCTAATTTAATTAAATGTAAGAAACCAAAGTTGTACTAGGCAGAGCTTTTGTTGTACCGCCGTGATCGTCTAGTTGGTAGTTAACCTTTTTTTTTAATATTCACGATGTACAATATTAGATGTATATAGTGCCTGGCATACGCTCGCGAAAACGGTTGTGCTTGGTACGCAACAACGTGCGCTAACGCTGCAAAGGGTGGGCACTTGGACTGCTTAAAATACGCCAACAGCGATTACTTAAAAAATATTTCGATTTTTGATTTTTTTGTAAATATTTTATCAACGCTTTTGTAGCCAGTGTTGTAGGATTATAGCAAAAATTACAACAATTTAGATACGTTCGGGTAACGAGAAGTCGAGAATGACAATCTTAAAACTAAGCGGCAAACGCGTAAAGCTATAGGAAGCTATAAAAAGATGAGAATGTTACAATTGATTTTGTCGAAGTCGTAAACTATACGTCTATACTAGAGATTAGAGTACGAGCTATCCGTAACATGCCGGCAGCGTGGTAAGCTGGCGCTCGTGGTGGGTGGGGGGGTTGGGAATCGCGAGCGTGGCATAGATAATATGTATGGAGCGCGGTCGGTTACCGCAAGAAACATATATAAAATTCACTGCTGATCGCATAGACCACARAAYAATACACTGAATATAGAAGCGACACTCTGTCTGGTAGCCGATCTCTGGTGGTTTAGTGTTGATGTTGTAAATGATTACCTGGTGGTCTAGGAGTGTTGTTATGAATGATTTCTCTACAATAAACGGTTTGTTGTTTGCTTACATTTACATTATATAATTTATTATCATCTATGTGTTATCATAATGGTATCAAGTTTCAACTGAAATATTGCCTAGACTTCTTTTATACTCTATGGACGTAATTCTAAAACAACACGGCCGATGGGGGGGGGGGCATGGCCCCTATGCCCCCCACTAGCTACGCCACTGCTCCTAGTTGACATCAGTAGACTCATCAACTAGGAGCAGTGGCATTTGGCACTTGTTGTTCGAATAAATTATGAATGGAAGGTGAAAGATTATTTTTTACAACTAATTCATTCCACTTCACATCGCTATTGCGCAGAGTATGTATGATGCTATAAAACATTTTTTTACAGAGTACCAAGTACCGTACATTAAAAATTTGATTGGTTTCGCGTCCGATGGGGCTAACGCAATGATGGGAAACAAAAATTCTCTGAAGACATTACTGGTCAAAGATATCCCTAATATTTTGTTATAAAATGTATCTGCCATTCTCTTGCACATTGTGTAACTATGCATGCCTAAAACTTCCAGATAAAGTAGAACAATTAGTTAGAAATATTTATAACTTCATGAACCAAAGTTATAAAAGGCAAAAAGAATTTCAAGAATTCCAGAAATTCCATGACTTGAAACCTCACAAAATGCTGCAGCAGTCACAAACGAGATGGTTGTCGTTGAAAGCAGTAGTTTGTCAAGTGCTAGAACAATATGAAGCATTATAATCATATTTCAGGCTTCAAGATTTTGAAAATGACACATTGAACCATGATAAGGCTAAGCAAATATATTTTCAACTAAACAATCCAGTAAATGAGCTTTATTTAGAATTTCTCCATTTTATATTTCCTGTTATAATTGATTTAAACAAAGAATATCAATCACAAAACCCAAAGTTATTTTTATTATATTCACGAATGGAATCTGCATACAAATTTGTTCTAACATGTAACATTAAACCAGATATAATTAATTCAATTGAAATTTCAAAATTACAATTTCGTAACCCTAAACATTTTTTACCAGCAGATTCTTTATATTTTGGTCCAAAAGTGGCAATAGCTTTTCAAAAAAATATTTTAAGTGACAGTGATAAAAAATTATTTTAAACCAACTGTTTAGATTTTTTATTGTGAATTGCTTAAGCAATTCCATCAACGGTTTCCATTTAACAGTAGTGAAGTCCAAGCGTTGAAAGAATTAACTTTTCTTGATCCAAGCAATATTTCCAAAGTACAATCGTTGGGTCCCGTAGCAAATTACTTTGGATCATTTGTTAACAATCTCAATTAATTGAACAGAGAATGGCGACTATTTCAAAATTGTGGCTAAAATCATATTTAAATGATAAAAACATATTGATTATTGATGATTATGTATCTTTTTGGGAAAACAATTTAAAAGTTAAAAGGGGTGATGATAAATTACTTTTTCCCAAATTGTACAATTTTGTTAAATTGTTATTGAGCGTTCCACATAGTAGTGCATGCGTGGTAAGGATATTTAGTGTGATCAACCTGAACAAAACCAAAACGAGAAACAGGTTATCGACGGAAACTTTAAGTGGATTATTACACACCAAACAATTTATAAACAAAATAACAAATCAGAATTGTTATGATTATGATATATCTGAAAGTTTATTATTGAAGCATAATAATGCTATGTATTATGTATCCGGTGTATGACTTAATCATGACTAAAACAATATTGTATAAAATATAAATTACATTACCTTTTGACATTTGTATATTATTATTGTATTATTATAAAATGTGTAAAAAATTATTGTGTTATTGTTTTTATAAAATAATGGCAAAGAGTTATGTACCGATGTCTGATATTCTGATTTTTTTCTTTTCACTATAAATTAATTAATATTATTCTATTGTCTATAATACAAAATGTATATAATTTATTATACCATAGGTACCACACTAGTACACTACCACTATAAATTATAATAAATATTAAATAGTTTTGTTAATTTGTTGTTATTACTTTATACTTATTTTATATATTTTAAATTTCAATATTTATCAAATTGTTATCATTATCTTATAATTTAGTATTGAGGTTAATTTTTTGGTGAATTCTGGTGATTTTTCAAAATGATATCTGGTGAAACTTATATTTTTGACCTGACAACACTGCAGTGCAAGCACCTCCACACCAGTCAACATTCTAAATTAATCATTTGGACTTAGAATTATTTTTCAATTAAATCATTCTTGTTCAATAATTGTGTTTTATTCACATCTCAATCAAATAAATATCTAATAAATAATCACAAATCAAGTTGTTATACTTATTTCACTCAATCCATCTACCTCAACACCAGTCGTTCGTCCTCTTGTATGTTGGGACGCTACAGAAATATACCTCCGTATGTATTTTAACAATATTATTTAAATTAAATAGGTAGTTAAATATAGTAACAATAGATTTCATAATTTATTTGTTTTATTTTGTTACTAAAATTGTGTTACGTCTATCCGTCAAAGTTGAAATAAGCAGTGAAACTAGCTATCTGCACCAGCTACTGATGACGTTAAATTACATAATACCACTGATCGTACACTTCGCGTACTAACCATCACTATCACCCGATTGAACAACTGGCATCGAGTTTTCTATGTACAACGCTGATTGCTGATTCACGGTCTTTGCACACCTGCCTCAACACCACTACTTTATTTTCAATTGACGTAAGTGTGTGCCACATGACTGTCATATAGTCCTCATGCAAAACAGCATCGGCATTGCACTTTGTCCGCTGTACCACCAGCGCGARTCGGTCACAGCCTAGTTTCTGTTTYAGCCGTTCAATTTCGGTCACTAGACCAGCTTTCCGATCAACCACAGTTTTAACATCAGCCATCAACCGTTGATTATCGGCTATTGTTTCTTCAAGTTGGCTTGATATGTCCAACTGTTGCTCAATAAGTTGATCTCGAACGCTTAAAGTTTCCTCTATTATGGACCATAAACCACACATTTCTGCTTCACTGTACGCTTTCAATTCATTGAACATTTGGATCGATTGTTCGGCTTTGTTCTTCCAATTAGCTGCTTTGGCACTTACGGTGGCCAGATCCTGGCAAACAACAACTAAACACTGTTCTGTCCGGGTCATTTGATCCAKAGTTGCTTTTTTCAACGCCACCAGTTCCGCTTTTCTGTCCTGGCATTCAGTCGTCAGTGACTTGAGGATTCGATTACTGATATAATTTTGACGCTGCTGTTCAATTAGCCTTTTGTTATCGAAATGTAATGCTGTCTCTTTGTCCGTTAAGATGCTACGCAACTTGTTCTCTTCCGTTGATTTACAAACTACCATGTCCTCCATATCACATAGTTGCTGTTTTAGCAAATTTGCAGTTTCCTGAGTCACAGAAACCACATTGGATAATATGTCAATTTAAGAGCTTTAGATTAGATTGTGAAACTAATTTATCGYGGCGTTTTTAATATAATCAATCATAGTCAGATACAATTTTATAATATTTTATATGTAAATTTCATGCAAATATATTTAAATTATATTATCTCTATGAACCTTTTATAGTTTACCTAGTTAATTTCTTAAATTATAGTACATAAGTGTCTTAATTTTAAATTTTAAATAAAATCCCGATGTATATTATACTGGATATATAAGTTAAAACCTGAAAACTAGGTTCTCAGTGTGGTTACCTATGTAATACAAATAAAAAATTTAATTTAACTTAAAAAAATGCACGGTTAGTAATATTAGGATATTAAAATTAAAAGTTAACTCGAGAATGGTAAACGATGTTTTACCTATTCTAAATCTAGGGTTAGAATATACAATATGTTTAACGTTAACAATACAACAAAATAGCAATATTATGTGTCAATTATGTTGTATTAATGTATTGTATATATTACTTTTTCGCTATGAATTTTAACTTTATGTTTATTGTTGTCTTTTGACGTTTCTGTACAGATAAGTTCTAATTTCTTATATTTTTCAATCATCTGTTTTTTTTTATCCATGTTATATCCTATATTATACTKTAATTCTTGGTTAATACGTTCTAACACATATATTCTATTCAATACTTCATTATACTTCAATGAATTTGCTTCTAAGTCTTGATTGATATCATTGTAAGACTGATCATAATATTTCTTTATATCAGCTGTCGCTTGCTGAAGATCTTCCAATTCCATATGTATACTCCTAATCTCAACTTTAAGTCGGTTATAATTGGAAACATTCCTTTGCAACATACTTTTACGMCCTTCCGTTAATCTTAAACAAGTTTCCAAAGTAAAATTATCCACGTTGTCACATATATTCGAATTGTAGCTAGTGTCATTATGCTTTAAATTATCCATTGTTCAACAGGCTAAATTAGGCATATAATATTAAATACCTACTCCTAAAATCTAAAAAATAAAAATAAAATATTTAAAATAGATAAACAAAAAAATAGAATACTTACATATGATAGAGAGATCTATAATAATATCTTGGAAAATTACAAGTATAATATTTTTATTACTAAAAACAGAAATTTATTTTTTTATTTTTTAGTTTAAAATTTATATTTACTTTTGCATTACATAGTAACTGTGTAAACAATCTTTCATTTCATATAATTTCATSCTTAGCAATTATTAACATATTTCCTATCAATACAAACATGTATATTTTTTAGTGAATCAGCTTGTTATTTTACTACAGTTGTAATATAAAAACAAAAAAATAATTGTATTAGTCTAGACTTATTTAATTACATGTACTGAGTGTTTAACATTACCACCTATGTAAATCCTACGACGTGGTTGTTCATATCAGGCCCGTGCGTAGGGTTTCAGAATGGGGTGTGTTTAAAAAAAAAAAATGTATATCATAGATAAATCAATAACTAGCTAATAGTATTATAACGTATTTATATTTATTACTGTAACAATTATAATATGTTACATGATACCTGAGTATATATATATATATATATATAACTAGCTAATAGTATTATAACGTATTTATATTTATTACTGTAACAATTATAATATGTTACATGATACCTGAGTATATATATATATATATATATATGTACTACACGTCTACACACTTAACATTATGTACGATTAACTGCTGTTCAATACAATAATATTAACACACACACATGTTTGAGAGAAGAAGGGCTAAAGGTATCCACAATAGAAATACTGAGAAAAATTAATATACCAAATACGAGATCGGGATATTATATGACAGAAAATGACTTGGCATATTTAGCAGACCAATTTAATAAAAATTTAACAATAATCTCTAAACACAAAAACACAGATAATAACGTATTAAATACCGCTRTAATATACTGGAAAAAAAACGACCGACGATAGGAGATTCTTTGTTACGGATAAGTATAATTTACCGACCAGAAAAAGTTAAAACAATTAACACGAAATTAACAATAATTACATTTATGGCATTTGAGTTAACTAAGGGAAATCCAAATTCTTTTGAAAACGAACAATTCACCACCAAGCCAGGTATTTATTTCGAAAATATACCCCCACTACCTACACATAACTATTTTTCAATGGAATTTTTTGACGTTTTATAATATTTCGAATTACAAAAATAGTTATGAGTTCATAAATATATATTTTAACAGATTTAAACTAATTTGCCTAAATTTTGAAAATAAATCAACAGACATTAATGATATATGTATAAATTGAAAAAAAAATTAGCGCAGTATTATTAAAAAAATTAATGAGGAAAGAGACGTTCTACAACAATATTTAAATATCGATAAAAAATATAATAAAATTAGACTTTGGGAAGAAAAACAATTAAAAACACCTTTAATTCAAAAAGATCAAATAAAAATTTTTGAAAGTACTCTTGATTCAATGACAACAATTTCGTCAGATTTTGATAAAATTAAAAATAATTTGTATGACTATATAAATAAAATAAACTTCGAAGTATATAGTCAAAAGGAAGAATTAAAGATAGTAAATATAAAMGAATATATTATGTTATATAAATCAATGTACAATGAGCTTATCAATCAGTTTTCAAAAGAAACTTCAATTTTATTAAACACAGTAATAACAAAATAATAATAATAAAATGATCTCTTACAAGAGGAGAACATGAAAGTCACATTGTAATAATATAATTAATAAAAAAATTTGGGGTTTGGGGATTAATAATATGGAGGGACTTATGGAGAATAATATCAAATGTTTTTTTCGTATAGGACAATAATATTTTATAAGATTGAAATGGATAATAGTTCACCATGCCATGTGTTTTGCCATAATAATAAAAAATAATTCACGTGTTACATAATAATTTTACCATTTAAAATAATAATTCACATCCACGTGTAAAATAATAAATTTGCATTTTTAATAAAATAATAAGTTGYCATCTTTATAATAATTTTACCATTTTTTATAGAGATATTTTAAATATTAAAAGGGGATTTTCAGGGAACCCATATATCTCTCCGGAGTCTCCATGTGTGAGAATGTGGGGTTTTTTACACCCCACAAACCACCCAAGGTTCCAAGGGGCATTGAAACCGTGATCTGCCAGCCTTACCGCGTGGTAAGTCGTGAGACTTACGTCGGTTGAACTGACAGGTTTTGATACACGCATCGACAAATGAATGTCGAAGATTTATAATATAATGACATAGGGTACCCCGAATAAATAATTTAAAACATGGCCTGGATTACGGTAATAAAGAATAATATATACTTTAACAGAATACATTTAAATAATAAAGATTTCATTTTAAAGAATAATAATTGCAACATAATACTACCAGTTGATTTTAATAATATAATGGTTTTACAGTAATGGTTTTGGCAATAATATAGTATAATATGGGGCACATGGCAGGTAGACAAATAATAAGAATAATATTTGGAAAATAATAAAAGAACAACATTCGCAGTGACGCTAAGCAATAATACGTCAGGATGTGTCTTTYGATCACATCCGACTAATAATATAATAATAAAAATTACGCAGCTCCTAACCTAACCTAACCATCTAAGCATGTGAATAGTATAAAATATGGAGCGCGAATAATAATAATAATATTAAGCTTTTTTCAATAATAATAATACTTTTAAATAATAGACGTTTGCTAATATTGCAATTGAGGGAAATGAGAGGGAAAAGGGGAATTAAATATGAATCAATATACAATGAGCTTATCAATCAGTTTTCAAAAGAAACTTCAATTTTATTAAACACAGTAATAACAGCCCACAGAGAACAGATAAATCCACAGATATTAAAACCRACTGAGCTATTAGATCAATCATAAAGTTATAAATATTAGAAATTAAAAAACCAATTAAATTTGATAATGTATATTTATGTATAAAAATGTAAAAAAAACATGGAAAAATCACGTAAACTTCAATTAACAGTCCACCTTCACCATATTTTTCATTTTTTTTAAGGGAGGGGGTAATGTAACAATTATAATATGTTACATGATACCT